GTCTGAGCCCCCCCGTCTGAGCCCCCCCGGCTGGGCACCCCCGTCTGGGCACCCCCGGCTGAGCCCCCCCGGCTGGGCACCCCGCGAGCCCGGGACGCAGGAGCAGATGCGGGGTGGGCGATGCTGGCGCGGTGGGGACTCCACCGAAGTGCCGGTTTAAAGCCGCATAGCTGCGTTTGGCGTGGCGGAAAAAGTGTTTCAGGGACGGGATGAGTAGATGCTGCCTCTCTGCTTGTAAACGTTGAACAAAGGGGACGCGAGTTAAAAGTGGTTTGACAAAGCAGCAAGGGTCGACAAACACCGTCACGTTCTTCAAACTTAGATCCCATCTATCCTCTCTTCTCCCCAAACCACTTATTTCGTAGAGCACTTTTCAGAGAGGCTTTTCGTTTAAAAAGAAAAAAAAAAAAAGTTAGAAATTAAATGGGTTGTGTGTATTTGATGAGACCCATCTAACAGACAGAAGATGTCACGAGAGGCATGAGAATTCCTGAGCGGAGAAGCGGTGGGTCGGCCCCTGTCCCTTTTTGAGGATCTCTGTAGCATTCCTGTTCAGTCGATGCTTTTCACCACAGCCCACAACCTGCCCAGCCCAGCTGCGGACCGTGTAGTTTGTCTGTAGTGGCACTGTCATCACCATCGGTAGCATCGGTGAGGATTATTGATTTCTGGATTTACTGAAGGGACCCCTGATTTGAAGCGGCAGATCACACGAAATGCCCGCCGCTGCCTGGGCTGAGCTGCGCCGCAGCGGGGAGAGCCGCCCCAGCTGAGCCCTGAACAAGTTGGTACATCGATGTAGCACGATGCAGCAGAAATACTGGCTCAAGTCCTGGGCATCTTTTTCGAGTTAATTAGCTGGAGCAGACCACTGCACCAACGAAGGCGTGCTGCTGCGGCGGCGGCCGGAGCACCTTGTTTGTGCCAGCTTTGCTGCCTTCGCACAGGGCTCTGCTGATAGAGCCCGACAGCGGGTGGGAAAGTCCTCACGAACCCGGCTGGCACATAAGCATCAGCATGGAAGGGTGAAGGTGAACTCACAGAAATCCTCGCCTCTTAAATTGCAGTTTAGCTGTACAGGACTGGATCAGAGGAGTGTTCAACAAATCAGACAGTCAGCAGAGGGCAGCTAAGTTGCTCTCCCTGTCTGCTACCTGTCCAGGTACTCTGCTTGCCCTCTTCCCTCTTGGCAGGTTCACTGCTGGTCCCTCGGAGAGGGTGCCCGGGAGGATGCTTTCACTCTGCCATCCCAGGGATGGGGGCTGCATGCTCCCCCCAGCTGTAGCACCCCAAGGAGCGAGCTGATGGCACAGTTTCGATTGCAGTTCATGATGTCTCTGGATCTTTTACAAGAGAATTGTTGGGTTTTTTTTTTTTCCCAGAGAAATAGGTGGGAAGAACTTAAGTATCAGCTTGCTTGTCGATACGACAACAAACACCACGCTGCTTTTTCTTTTGCTCTTGTTCTTTCCAGCAGTGCTGACTTAGTGTATTCCAGGATCTCTGTGGTTTTCTCTGTACCAAAATGAATTTGTTCTTGGCCGCAGCCTGTACACAGACATGGGTAAAATGACATGGTATGGTGACCACGCTTTACATACGTATCTTACTTCAGCAGAAGCACACGGATCGGTGGTAGTAGATGCTGTTACTTTTTCACAGGGCTGACGATCTGAGCTGTGCAGACTACATCCCAGGACCGTGGTTGTTAGAAGCAAATACTATTGCTAGATAAACTTAGTGACTTGAAAGGAAAAACCCTCTGACAGAAGAAGCAGTTAAAACAACATTATTACCTTCTCCATAATTACATTTAGAGGCTCTTGTCCCAGGGCTGATTATTCTTGCACAGCATTATGCATATGCCCCATTTATAAAGCTAGGCAACTGTACAGCATTTTCCTGTCGATTTTTAGAGAATTAGAAAGGACTTTCCCCTTGCAGACCAGACTGCTGCTTGTCCTGCACACATGTAACTGTTGACACCATTGGTGTAAATAGGGATATTTTAAATTGTGGTTTGTGAAAACAACGTGTTTCCTGATTATCATGCTTCATGTTACTGTAAAAGCATATAGAAACAAATACGTGGGGAAAATGGAAACGCTTCATCATCCCATTTGCCAGTTTTTCAGCCTTTAAAAAACGCTGAGTGCAACTGTTGCATAATGCAAAGTAGTGTCAAAAGGATGCTTGAGAAAGGAGAGAGGGGTCTGACTTCAACCTGGAAAGATGCAAAGAGAAAAAATGACAATTCATTATTCTTTCTTTATTAGATTACAAACTTCTCTCTGTGGAGGGTCCTACCTTCCCAGAGTGCCTTTTTCGTCAGGTGTTTGTGAAGGAGTGAGCACTGCTCGGGGCTGCGGGGGTTGTTCCCCTAACACAGGCAGGTGTGGGGATGGAAGTCCTGCCTCAGACTTCTGAAGCGAATGGTAAAATCATGGGGTTGTATTTGAGAGCAGGGAGATATAATTTTTTAGCAGTGTTCTCTGTGGAGAAGTACAGTAGGGGGTCCTTCTTCCACACTGCTGATTTCATACTAAATTTGCGTATTTATAAATGTTAATCTTCTTGCACAGCCTGGTATTACAGGTTTCAGGTATTGCTTGGTGGTTTGGTTGTCTTTTTTTTTGGTTTTTTTTTTCTTCAGCTTCTGGGAGAGCGTGAGCAGACAGGGCACGGCTGAAGGACTGAGATGCCAGTACTGCGCTGGTGTGGGAGCGTCAGCCTGTGCCCTCCTGGCTGGCAGCCCGGGGCATATCGTTACAGCTGGAGGGCTGCTCCCGGGGAACGCTGTGCCGGGGGGAGAGACGTGCGTTCAGCGGGTGTTTTGTATGATTATGCTCCGCTAGAACATGCGGGTCCTACAGAGTAATGTTAAAACGTAATTTTTCTGGAACAGTCTAGGAAGTACTTGTCAGTCTTTGAGGAAACAAGCTCAAATCCAGCTCAGGGGAAAGTGTGTTGCAGCCAGAGCTTGTGTTACCTGCCAGGTGTTTCAGTGAGTGCCAGCACGGGGAAGATGATAACCAACACCAAAGTCAGTTGCAAAATCAGCGTGAAAGCAGGTATCACACTTGCCTAGTTAAGCGTGTACTTGTACGCTGAGGGGCAGGTTCAGGAATGAGTTCAAGGACCTCTCAGGAAGGAAAAGCCAAGGAAAGCGCTGGGTGAGCGATGGGCTGGCGCTGGCGACTGCCTTGAGCTGAGCCTAGCCAAAGGGTGAGGGTCGCTGCGCCGAGCTGCTGACGTGAGCTCCTTCTCGGGAGGGTGTCACCACTCGGTACCTTCCCTACAGGGCCTGCTCTTCGATCTAGATTAAATAACTTCTATTAGGAGGGGTAATTTAAGAGCTGACATTATACCTAATAACCTAGCTCACATATTTATATGAAATTGTTTAGGACTAGATTAATTTGTCACAAAACTTTACCACCCTCCTTTTTAAGTGAAGGAGGAGTGGAGTTTTCTTGATTTGAAGGATGGAGGTGTGGAGGATGTTGTGCCTTTTCTCTCTGTAGTCATTTGGGACCAATGCTATCGTTCTATCTAGGCTACAAGAAAATGTTTTCACGTCGCTGAATCTTCATTCACGTTAATTAGGTCTTTATTTTCACGCCTTTATATGATAGCTGCCTGGCTTTCTACGCTAAATCTGTTATTTATTTATTTACTTGAACTTGCCATTGGAAGAAAAATGGAGGAATGTTAAATATGTTCCTGTCTTCCAGCTGAGGTGTATGCAAACCTGGCTTGAATTTCAAACAGGTCCTCATGCAATCAAATCCTTAGAGGTGCTCTTTGCTTTGAGCAAGGGTATAATCTGCTTGGCTGTGATGACAAAGAAATAAGGTTTCTCGTAGTCATGTTAGGCAGAAATTTGTGAGATTTAATTTAGTGGCTTGCTCCATTATAAGTTTTTCCACGGGCTTGGACAATTCATTTGAGACTGTGCTTATGTCTGTTCTTTATCTGTAAAGTGCGAGTAATTGCACATCTGTTAACTTGGAGGAACATTTTGAAGATAAAGTGGGTTTAAGATTATGTGTATAATACCCGTAATACCTGCGTGCAGCTAAAATATTAAACAGCTGATTAAGTGAACTGCTACTTATTATATTTCTGCTCTAAGAAGGAAAATGCTGAGTAACCTCATTAGCTATGATAGTTATTTCTGTACTTTGTTGGGATAAGTATGAGCAGGATTTAGACCTCTCTCTCTTAAGTTCCCTTTGTACAGATTATTGGAAGAAAAATATGACAGTAGGTCTTACCAGCTAAAGCTGAGATTTTGAGTTCCAGTTGAATGCTGTCTCATTAGGAATCCAAATTGCTGTAGGCGTTGGTTTATCATTCATACCAAGAAAGAAGTCCTAATTTTATTGGGCTACGATTATTTTTTTTTCCATATTTTCACTGTGTTTATAGTTCAGAAAAGTTCATTTTCTATATACAAACGTTTTTGGGAAAGGAACTAAACTGATGATTGGAAAATGCTTGTTTCTTATTCTGTGGATGGGGATTATGAAAACTAGTCCCTTGTGGTGTGTACGAGCGGTGGAATCACTTCCCTAATAAAGATGTTCTCAATAGATGCAGAATTCTGCACTGGTTAAATTATCATGCAGCCTGTACAGTTAGGAAATAAATGAGGGTCTGGGAGACCATGATGTATGATACCCTAAATGGCTGCATTTTGTTCATATTTGAAAGGCAGTTTAGCTTGTCGTCATTACTGATGATTTGTGCTTTTATAGCCCTTCTTTTTGCATTTCAGAAATCCTTTGTGCCCATCTGAATAATAAATCACCGTGTTTGATTTGCTCAGTAAGAGCAAATGTGAAATTACATTCTTATTAAGATGTCTTGAGAAACTGTAAGTGTGGGTGAAATTCTTTAAAGGAAAATTATGCCAACATTGTTACTGTTTTGTTTTGTCTTGTTTAT